ATCCTAAGTTTAAAATCCTAAAATTAAAATCCTAATCCTTTAAAAACCAAAAATCCTAAATCCTAAAAGTTAAAATCCTAATAATTAAATACGCTATATAATACAATTAGACTATAAATAAAAAGTAAAAAACTACAAATCAAATGCACGCTTAAAAAGATGTCTTAAGATTAAGTGAGACATAGCTAAGTGAGCTAAATCAGCCAATTTACATCACACTAGCCGATTCGAAACACATTTAGACCTATCGAAAAGAAATATCGATGGGACCAAAGAGTACTCTATGGAATATACATCTGGAAGTTATTTCGGCTTCCGAAATTAAGCATTTAACAACTAACTGCGAGTATCTCTTCTCCCTTTGGATGAGATGCGAGCTAGTCTAGGGCTCAGTACCTGTTTATACCCAAGCTGGGCGGAAAGATTTCCTTTGGAAGCAAAGCACTTGCGTAAAAACAAAACACAATTTCCCCAGTCCTAGCTCGAACCACGACCACTCCATCCAGACTCCTGCACCCCACTAACCCTTACGCCACACGCCTCCAAAACCTGACATACGTGTATTTGATTTTGCTCGAAAAGATGCCAAATGCAAGCCAATTACAGACTATGGGGCTTTCTTTAATTTCATCAAACTGTTGATTGCTTCTTCAAGGATTTTTAATAAAAACAATGGAGTCCATCAGCTCCTTTATAAGTTTGCTCTTGTGAACCTGGTGCCAGTTGTCATAACGTTACCATGCAATCAGAACTAAACTCCTGTGTGACTACTACCAAATTATCAAACTCTGTCTTACCTCATTATCCTGTAGATAAGCATGTCGCATATTTAATGTTATACCATGGCATACAAGATACAGCCAATCAAAATACAAGAAAATACAGGAAAGCCGTTTTATACTCGACGTACCCTGCATTGATTGTGTTGGCCACTGTGTCACCTACCGGGCATGGTATAACCTAGTTATGCAACACTTTCTCGTTGTATACCCTGGAATATCCTACTGGTCACAATTTCTTAAAGGCTCGCGTTTATGCCGAGAAAATGACTCGCGGAATATTCCGTAGTATACCACTCGAAAGCGTTACATAACGAGTATATATCTAAACGGGTCTGGTAGGTAAGGTAGCTATTGTATGTAAAGTCTGTATACGAGCCAAGTGGTCCATAAGGGCGGAGCTTATCCCGGTTTCTGTAGCATGAAACGACTAGAAATAATTCTACCCCCCCCTGGATGGGATGCTAGTCCATCGCAGGGTTACCTCCAGCATTAAGTTCGCCGGTATTCATAAATACACCTGGGTGCAGAGAGGCACCGTGAGAGTGAAGTGTCTTGCCCAAGAACACAACACAGTGTCTCCGACCAGGGCTCGAACTCGGACAGCTCAATCCGGAGTCGAGCGCACTGACCACGAGGCCACCGCACCTCCACTGTAGATATATATCTAAAGTAGGGTTATAAAATTCCCATGCTGTTTACCTTGTGTTTTGTAGCATTAACTCTTGGCTTTAGATCAGTCAATGCTTTTGTCAGTAAAGGAGTAATCTTCACGCCTCCTGGGGGGTCGTAACCTTCAAATTGAACAAGAAAACACTCTTTCCCTAAGATTTCTTTGAATTTTAAAGGACGTATTTACACTTGACTCTCAACACGCGGCTTCAAACCCAAGATGATATCAATAGCAAACGAACAATGGCGAATCTTTCAAATCTTTTCTGAGCTTTCGTTAATTCCATTTATAATATAGATAGGACCCTGTGCGCGCTCTGATTGGTCAAAAAAACACATGTTTTATCAGAGTTTATATAATAATTAAATGAATGCGCGCGCTCTGATTGGTCAATCAGCTATGGTTTATTGTGCTAGTAAACTCATGCGCGTGTCTTCTGAATTATTATATAAAAGCAATAGAACACAAGTTTTTGTGGTTTATAGGCTGATAAACCCCTTGGAATGTTGGAAATGTTGGAATGTTGGAAAACTTGTGATCTATTGCATAAATAAAACATAAAAATTTTCGCAACATTACCTCTATACCATAAAGCAAATGAAAAAGCCTAGCAGTCTCATGTGCTCTTTAACAACATTGTACCTGTTTTATAGATGGAATTACTCCAGTATCCACCACAATGCTCGTCTTTTTTATTTGTACATTCGCTCGAGCACTTCCAATCTGGCAGTTGACCATATCGTCCTCGCTTGTTTCCACAGAAACAGAGATAGGAAAACTGTAGGCCGGCGTATCTGTAGAACAGGTCCTTGCAGCTCTTGGTGCATGACTTGACTGTCACCTCCCTATCATGGATCCTCTGCGGGAGATCCCTCGGGTCAGAATCTTTGTAACAGCCTACATATTCTGAGAAAGAATCAGAGTTTACTTAATATAGATCTTTTTGGAGTCTGTCTGCTTATACAGGCGACGCTTTACATGGTTTAATATAATTAATAGGAGAGCACAAATGATTAAATTTACCCCAGGACGGAATGCGACTGAGGATTATATTGGTTCACTTAGTACCTCGGTCTGGATCCAAAGTCCAGATTTTATGAACCACAATGTTAAATTGTCACTTGCAAGTCGCACAGTTGATCCAGTTCAGGTATCGTCCAGTGAGAAGATCAAATATAAATGTAACAAATAATGATAAATAATAAACAACAGTATTTAGAGAGGAATTCCAGGGCAATCAACTCTAGCTGGTTTTCATGAGGGTTGTCTATCCTGGTCGAATTGGAATTTGGAGTTTTGGTTTTTTGTGGAGGGAGGAAAACCGGAGAACCCAGAGAAAAACCCTCGGAGCAAAGGCGAGTACCAATAAGAAACTCAACCCACATATGACACTGGGCCGGAATCGAGCACAGACTGACTTTGGTGAGAGGCGAGCGTTGTCATCGCCGCGCCATCCTTGCTGTCCTGTAGCCAGTATTATATTCCATTCTATTCCTATGACCTCTTTTTTAACATTCCTCCTTTAGTCATAAAACAGCGCGCAAAGTTCAAGAGCTAAAAGTGAAGTGTATTTGTCGTTACGAGTATGGTCTGTTGGGATAGCAACCTGCCAATTGTTTCTTCGAGGACTGGGTTAAGACTAAATGACTTTTTAACCAAAAGAAAGGTACAAAACACAAAAAGAATTAATCCTTAGGAGTATCACGGTTTGCCGTTTTCTATTTATATTAGTATCTCGCTTTATGAGTACTAAGCTCATAAGGCAACTGGAGGTTCTACCCGCCGTATAACACAAGGTAAACACAAGTTCCAAGATCAGTACCTTGACAGGTGCCACAAGACGATAAAATCACCAATAAGATAATTTCGGTGCCTTGCATGGCTATCCAGTGCTTCACGTTTTCCTCTTCGCTTCACTTCCCTGTGAATAAAATTATGTGATAAAAATGAAAGAAATCAGCGTGCACGTGAAAACGCATCTTCTCAATGTAAAATAATCTTCGCTGTACGACATAACAAGTGGCTCTAGTCACACGGTTGCATAACTGACTTGGTTTTAACAAGATCCATGATCCTGTTACAGATTTTTATAACAAAGGGTACAGGTTGGAAATCAATTTAATAATTTTTATGGTTTCAGGTAATTTTGTGTGTTACATAACGAAGGAGCTCGGTTAGCATCTCAAGGGCATGATGAAAAACTAGTGTTCACTCAGCGATATCGCCGTTTAAATACATGTAAGTAATCTTGTCACCATAAAGAATCAAGACTTGGAAAGTTATTTTTTATCTGAAAGGTGAAACTACAGAAAACATTTTCACAGGAACACTTGAAAATTCTATATGTAATCAATCAAAATGCGATCTCAAAGCTAAGATTCCCACCTTTCATCGAATCTCTCCTTTTCAGTCCGATAAGTATTTTCTTAATATGATGTTGTCTCTCGACTGGCTTACGGCGGTCGCTTGCGCAGAATCGTTCTGTTCGCTTTGAAACTGAAGACGCAGTCCAGGAAGGCAGGATACTGTACAAAGGTAATCTAAATTTCAACTTATAGACGTTTTGTTATATTTTTAGACGACAAGAGTGAAAGAAGATGACTATTAAATATTCATCAAGACAGTAGAGGTCCTTAGACAACCCGTATACCATGGCGCACGGGCGTCGATTGGGGACGACATAAGGTTGATATAGGGTGAAGGATGAGCAGTCCGTTTACGTTTAAGTCTCAGTTGAAGCCGTTACTAGAAACAGTATTTAATAATAATAATAATAATAATACATTTAATAAAATATTTGATAATAATAATAATGTCAATAACAACAATAATAATAATAATAATTATTATTACTATTATTAATTACTATTTCAATTAGCATTTTAGGATCTCATGATATTTTTATTTTCATCAAAATTTTAGTCTACGATAGTGGAATGTGTGAAGATTTGTAAATAGGTGTTCTGAGGAGATTTTATTATTGTTATTATTATTATTATTATTATTATTATTTTTATTATTAAAGTCTTGCCGCTTTTAACTTGTGGTACCGAGCTCATTCCGTGAGCCTAGGGCAGTCATAAGTCTGCTGGATTACTTGATGGATAGAGTCCTCCTAAGTATGTGAGCAGTTCCAAGGAGGACGGTCTTATTATTATTATTAATATTATTATTATTATTATTATTATGATCATGATCATGATCAT